CGATGCTACCGACAAATATGCTCAATGCTGCAACCGGTGCTATGCGGAGTCTGCATAACAATGTTCTTTCTTTGGAGAAGCGGCGTCTCAGAGAGAAGGATGTGGCATACCCGGTTTTCGCGGCCAAGGTGCCAGAGGGCAAGGGCTTTGTGGATAACTCCATCGGGCGTACGATCGTCCTGCGGTTTGATGACATCCACACTATGATGAACCTTCATCCGCTGCACTACACCTTCGTTCGGCTATTTTCGCTGAGTATGGAGATGCAGATCATTCGCGACAAGACCCCGGACATCGTGATAGCCGACCCCTTCTACATGCGTGCCAAGATCTTGGGCAGCGCTGGGGACCGGCAAGTCACGAGTTCTTACCTCGAAGGCGTCATTCTGGCAAACCAAGATAAGGATAACTTCCTCGTGCCTTACTTTCCCGAGTAAGTCCTTCCCTCAACCGGCCCGTAACATATGAATTCTTAGATTTCGATCGTTTTTCTTTTAACATTCCGTGTTTTCTGCAGTGACACACATTGCACGCTCATCCTCCTAAGCCCCAAATATTTTATGGCCACGTATTTCGACCCGGACCGTCAGTCGAACGTAGACTACACAAATGTCAAGAAGGTTCTTGATGATGTTCTCCCTGGCTACGCCAAATCTGGAGGCACCTTCACCAGGCCTATTCGTAAGTACGGCAAGCACGTGTTCTCCCACAATACGACATTCTGCTGCGTCAAGCAGCCGCCTGGCGGTCAGAAGGGTGCCTACTACGCCATCCATCACATGCGGGCGATCGTACGGGACCATCATCAACTTCTGCTACCGAGTAAACTCAAAGATTGGGCAAAGAGCGTGTCGGCAATCCAGGACGCGGACCTTTGACAAGAATTCTTTCGCATCCAGTCGGAGTTTGCGGAAATCATCCATCAAGATGTCCTTCGTACCTCGGGGCAGTTCTACCTCAGAAATCAACCGTCCAACAGTGACATCGACACAATGCTACAAATGCAGGCTGACAACGCCCGTTCTTTCATGACTCCCACGATAGACAGCGGCTTCATCCACGCTCCGGTCCCTTGAGTCGAGTCGAAAGCAGTGATGCTGTGTCTAGTTCTGAAACATCGATTGACTCATGTTGTAATTAAACTTTAATGAACTTGTAGTATGTCTCTTTGGTTTTGAGAGTCGTTCAACTTAGATGTAATCGATGCTATTAATGTCTTGCTTTTCTCTTCCGATTGTTCTGTTGCATACTTATATATTGCTTATGTATTGTTTGTGAATTGGTACTAACGTTCCGTTTGGCTAGTGCATAGCGATGTCGACGTATGTCGTGTACAAGGGTAAGGTTCCCGGAGTCTACGACGACTGGGAGGAGTGTCGGAGACAGGTTCACCGATTCAGCGGTAACAGTTACAAATGGTACACCACTAGGGCCGAGGCCGAATCTAGATACGCCTGCTATCTAGCGGGAGAGGGGAGGGAGCGTTGGAGGAACCGGATGAAGACGAGTTTCATCGTGATGATGCTCATCATGATGACCGCAGCTCTCTTCTATGTGATGGTACTTTAGATGATCGATATCGACTTGTAATGTGAAGACAAACTCGCTACTCGCGGTCTCGAGACTTGTAATATAATGTTCTATCTTTGTTCGGTCTTTTTAATTCGGAGACTAATATGATGAATTGTATTCAGAGACTAATCTTCTATTGTATTCGATGAATCTGTTGTTGATGTGTGCTGTCTATATTTTGTCCAATTATACATTTTGTAACCTGTGCAAAAAACAGAAAATAAAAAAAATAAAAAAACCTAATATTCATACTAATGGCGCATCACACCACAGTGCGCCATTAGTATGCCAAAGGATACTAATGGCGCATCATTAGACAGTGCGCCATTAGTATGCCAAAGTTACTAATGGCGTGGCGCATCTTGCTGTTGTGCGCCATTAGTATGCCAAAGCACCTGGATATACATGGCCCCCTGGGAGGCATACTAATGGCGCACTGTTGTATATACTAATGGCGCATCAAGTGGTGCGCCATTAGTATACCAGATACTAATGGCGCACCAGTGGTGCGCCATTAGTAAAATATATTAATGGGGTGGCACTAATGGCGCACCACTGATGCGCCATTAATGGCCAAATTAGGTGCGCCATTAGTAGGCCTTTTCCTAGTAGTGCTGGTGGCGCTATCTGGTGTCGTGGTGACGCCGACAGTAGATGGGACTGGCAAGATCTATGCAGTGATTCCTCTTGGAGACGGGATGACAGATCCTTCAGCGTGCGCAGGCGGTGCATGTTATAGGACGCCTAGACCGGGTGATATTAAGACCTTTGGATTAGATTGTGTCTGTTATGCAGACAAGGCACATATGTATTGGTGTTGGTGTAGTGACTTTGTTCGCCTAGAAGAGGGCTCTAGGTTGATCCTTGTATTAATTTTATCAGACTCTGATGAATAATTAATAACGATGATTGTGTGTGCATCATTGTGATGCAGTGGCTAAGGGTAATCCTCTTTTTTGAAAAAGAACTAAGTAACTGATACTGCAAAGGCAGTCTATATACATGAGACATATACATGAGCTCATGTAACGTTCACCGATTCGAAATTTGAGAAGCATGGCAGATGAGCTGACCCAATAAACAGAGTGTTGAGACATTACTCCAAACACTTGTTACGCACAATTAGATGCCAGACTCGGAGCTTCGTTCTTCTGGACTAGCGACGGGGAGGAAACAGACAGTCTTCCAGAGGCGCTCGGGGAGGAGAGGAAGAGGCACGGAGGCTAGTCGTGCTCACCGTGGGGGAAGAGAAGGCGTGGCTCCAACTTCACCCGGAGAGACCGACCATTGTTCGGAGTAGATACCATCGCCACGCGAGGGAGGGTAAGGTGGAGAGAGCGGGCGTCACGGGCTCACGGCTAGGCAAGGACATGATTGGCGTGGAGGTGAGTGGAGATGTGCAGGCAGCGGGAGCCTGAGAGAACAGAGCAAGAACGCAACAGAGAAGACATGATTGCAATGGTGAGGAGGGCATATAACAATTTCATTAATTTTAATCACAATGTTTAGTACTCCCTCCGGTGTCCTGAAAATGGTTGTATCTTCTTTTAAAGGAGGATGACCCCCGGTCTCTGCATCTGAGAGATGCATACGGCCATTTTATTGATTATTCTCGAGGACCTTATAAAGTATAACAACAATATGCCTGAATCCGCCATCTTGGCAGCATCTGCCGCTACTCCTATCCAAATGATGTAGGGGTGCATGCTGGGCCACATACCCATACCTCTTACCTAATCCTAACATCTAAAGCCGAAGGCCCCGACCGAGCCATCTGCCGGGTCCGGGGCTCAAACCGGTCTGACGCACTCACATGTGTCGTCGCCGCCATCTTCCACTGGTCCATCTTCAGAGCAGAATGAGGTGACAACCTTGGCAGGTCCTCCGCCATCGACGCCACCACGACGTCAAACGACGACCTCCACATACGCGAGCCTTGGCAGGTCCTCCACCATTGACGCCACCACAACCCAGCCGACGACCTCCACCTACACGAGTCCATCTCCAAGCAACGGACATAAATCCATGCTAGGAAAAGGCCACACCACCGCCGTCGCCCACCACCCACAAGCGCCACCCAACCCCAGGGTTCCCAAACCGGCGCCTTCAAGAAGGGAACGGCGCCGTGAACGCCGCCGCCGCCCAACAGAGTTAGGGCCTTCGTCCGGGAGACCTAGGGGAAGGTGAAGTGAGGAGATCAGTCCATATACCGACGCCTCCAAGGAGAGAAACGGCGCCCTCAGGCGTCGCTGTCGGCACGGACGGTCATGGCCGGTCAGGGATTTTGCCCGAACTAGATCTCCGCCACCAGCAGCACCTCCAACCGGCGACCGAGAGGAAGCGCGGCCCGGCCAGATTGGTCCGCACGCCAAACAGGGGAGGAAGGGAGGTGCCAGATCGCGCACACCGACCGCCGCAGAAGCCGCCGTCAGCCGCCAACGACCACCGGATCCCGCCGCCCGCGCGGTCGGAACACCGTATCCACCACCTGCACGACTGTTAGTTGGTCATGCCTTGCCAATGGAGCCGCCGCTCCAGATCCGGGGTTCCCCACATAGGAGCATGGCAACCGAGTCCCCGCCGCCACCATCCTTGGCGCCCCAGCCTTGCCCGCGGCTGCCTCAGGCGGCAGCGAGGGAGGGAGGAGGGAAGGGGGTGAGGAGGAGGGGCAGCTAGGGTTGGGCGGAGGCGGGGCTAGGGTTCCTTAAAAATGGGGGAGAATTTCACTTTCCCAGCGTCTGCACCAACTAGGGATGCATATTTTAAATATGAGTACTAGGATTTTCAATCTCAGTTATGCACCTAGCCTAGTCCTCAATAAATGCATGAGTATCAGAAAACATGGTCCTCAAGAATAAATAGGAACCTAAATTCCGTGAGGATTTGAACCTAGTCGTTGGGTTTGTACATCCACTCCCGGCCTCAATTAGTTGAGCTAGGCTCACTCCCTCAAATGGTTGTATCTAGACTTATTTTAGTTATAGATACATCTATTTTATCCATTTCTAAAGTATTTCCGGACGGAGGGAGTAGTTGATTCCGTGCCCGGATAAATACATGAGTGGTTAATCTGGACCATGCACTATATTTTTGGGATCTCTACTCATTCGAGAAAAAGTTCAATGCGTCTCAGTGGTTAATCTGCTGCTTTTGTTTGACTCGTCATAGTACAAAAAACCAAACAAATACAAAGATTTACCATTTTTATTGATTAAGCAAGGAGTTCAAGTAAATACGTACATACATTGATACATCAATACTAGAGTAAGATGGTCGTCCGGCCATAGTAGTCATCCTTTGACGTCCTGTTTCTGGCGAGCATGGCGCGTCGCCAGGGGATCCCCTCCATACGAGCCTACCATCGCTATGCACCATCTGGATTTACAATGTGGATCAGTGGTGGCCACCATGAGCTTGGCTACATCCGTCTAGATGACTTCCCCTACATGCGCTTCTGCTGGCATGGAGTAGCATTCGAGTTTGCGCTTAATCAACTGCATTCCCGGGGTGACCTCGACGGCCACGATGGAGACGGCGCGGCGTGGTAGATTGAGCACTTCATCCATGTTGATAGGCTTTTGAGGGGAGTACCCGGTGGTGATGACCGTCGAGATGCAAAATCTACCGGCCCCGTAGTAGGCAAGGGCGGCGGTGTGTGCTTCTATGAAGTATCTGGCACACCAGACCAGCCGGGAGGGGATGGCCTCCGGCCAGGACTTGATGATCACCGGAGGCCTAGCCTCTATATCGCAGGTGCAAAAGTGGTGATCCCTGGAGAAAAAGCCAAAGAGCAACTGTTGGCCGCTGCCCAAGAAGTCTGGGATCAAAAGGGCCCGGCCTGTCACGGGCAGCTTCCAGGTGCCTTCCCTGCGCCACCGGCGGCACGCCGTGTCGAAGGAGAAAGTGCCTTCATCCAAGAAGGAGATCCAGACGCGTGTGCCCGCGACAAAGTAGCCCGAGATGTGCCACTGCCTCTTGAAGCGAGGGATGGACGACAGCGGTGGATCCGGGATGGGGTGCCAGGCCAAGCGACCGCCGGCGTCGTCCGTGTTGCTGGCCAGAAGCTCGGCGTGGGGAGTGTCGTCGAGGTGTGGGTAGAAGGACATGGCGAAGAACGTACCGTCTGCGACGGGGACGAGGAGGATATCGATTTTGCCGGACAGCATGTCCGGGCCAGTGGAGGCGGAGCGCGAGCTGGCGTCGTAGAGCAGAGTCCGGGACAGGGAGGTGGCGGCAACGATGAGGTTGCCGGAGTCGGTGATGGCCATGTTTTCCGTAGGTTGTACGCTGTTGAACTTGGCGACGGGGTCGGGAAGGTTGAGAATCGGTGGGAACTCCTGGTCGGGTTCGCCGGAGAATAGACGGTCGAGGTTGAACTCGACGACGAAGTTGCCCTTGGTGGGGTGTTCAACCACCAGCAGGCCTCGACAGCGGTGGAACGGCGCGGCGGCCATCGACATCGATAGACAGACTCCTTGTTTCGTTGCCCTCGGTGGAAAAGGTACCAACTTCTTCGGGGATCTGATGACCTATATACACAGCTGGAAGGGAGCGGGAGGCTCACGTAGAGGACACGGTTTCGTTTCCCCGGCGGACACACCTTCATTCTTTTTTCCTTTTTTGATTAAAAACCAGTACCGCCTTCCTTTTATTTCGTTGCAGCCGTGCACTACCGACGCTCTATCGTAGGTACAGTACTAGTAATAACCTCCCAGACATCACGTGATTCGAGGAACAAAGAAGTATATTATACTGTAATAAGGAAGCAAAACAAAGGCGTATTAGAAACTAGTACTGCGAAGTAATTCTATTTTTAAATAAATAAAGATGGACACTCTAGCGAAATAATCTTTCCCGCCAAACAGTTTGTTTCCTCCGAGGTTTTCATATCCGAAAAATGACTACCGTTTAAGAAGAATTGGGTAAAAAAAAGTTCTTCAACAGTTACCGTAAATGCGCAAAATTTTGACGGGATTCTGTAAATTATCTCAAACTTCCGCTCCATCAGCGGAAAGATGGCCCTTCGCGTAAAAATGCTATGTCAGCTAACCATGACCAGCGTCCGCGCATCGCTGCTACACCCACCGCTCCATCAGGTCACTTCGTTGTATTTTTTCTTTCCACAGTGCCGCTGCTGGTTCAGGAAAACACCGGCCTTATTTTTTTTACCATTTTGAATATGTTCATGAAATAAAAAAAAGTTCATAGATTTATTAAAAATATTCGTGGGTTAAAAAGTTCACAAAATCTGGAAACAATATGCACAATTAAAAAAACGACGAATCATGAAAAAAAGTTCTTCAATTTTGAGAAAAACATCATCAAATTTGAAAAAAGTTATCGATTTTAAAAAAAGTTCATCAAATCTGAAAATTGTTCATTGATTTTTGAAAAAAATCTCACTGATTTTTTAAAGCACCGATTTCCAAATAAGTTCACAAAAATTAAAAAAATCATGAAATTCAAAAAAAACTTCATCGAATTTGAAAAAACATTCATCATTTTTGGAAAAAATCATCGAATTTGAAAAATGTTTCTTGTTTTTCTTTTAGAAAACATGAATCTTAAAAAAGGAAAAGGAAAGAAAAAAATAAAAAATAAAACTCGAATAAAACCGCCCTGAAATGACCAGCGAATCGGTAAAAAAACTGGTTAGAAGCTTCCTAAAACCGGGGGATTCCCGCGATTGAAATGTGGAATAAATAAAAGAAAGAAAAATCTTAGAAAGCACTAGTCCTCCGATGGCCTAATGATATGGTCGTGGTGGTCGCGGGTTCGAATTCTGGGGCTG